ACATACTTCCTCTAATCCAGGCGTGTCAAACTGGCGGCTCTCCAGCTGTTGTGAAACTACAAGTCCCATCATGCTTCTACCTTTGGGAATCGTGCTTGTAACTGTCAATCTTGCAATGCCTCATGGGGACTTTAGTTTGGCAACAGCTGGAGGTCCGCCAGTTTGACACCTGTGCTCTAATCCATCCTAATGATGAAGCCTACCACAAAATGCCTTGAAGAACAGGAAACCACCTCTATCTTGCCCATTTAAGCAAACTGTACATAATGTGGAACCCTTCAATTATCTATATAACACCTTGAGTTTTATATTGTTGGATGCATCAATAGTTTAAGGACTTAAAATGTGAATGTCCTTGAGCAATAATTAAACTTTGAGTGATACACTATATTGTCCAAAGTATTGGGCCGCCTGCCTTTACACGCACATGAACTTTAATGGCATCCCAGTCTTGGTCCATAGGGTTCAATATTGAGTTGGCTCGCCCTTTGCAGCTATAACAGCTTCAACTCCTCTGGGAAGGCTGTCCATAAGGTTTAGGAGGGTGTCTATGGGAAGGTTGGACCATTCTTCCAGAAGTGCATTTGTGAAGTCAGGCACTGATGTCGGACGAGGAGGCCTGGCTCACAGTCTCCACTCTAATTCGTCCCAAAGGTGTTCTATGGGGTTGAGGTCAGGACTCTGTGCAGGACAGTCAAGTTCCTCCACCCCAAACTCGCTCCTCCGTGTCTTTATGAACCTTGCTTTGTGCAGTCATGTTGGAACAGGAAGAGGCCACCCCCAAACTCTTCCCGCAAAGTTGGGAGCATGACATTGTCCAAAATGTCTTGGTTTGCTGACGCCTTAAGAATTCCCTTCACTGGAACTAAGGGGCCAAGCCCAACCCCTGAAAAACAACCACACACCATAATCCTCCCTCCACCAAACTTTACACTTGGCACAATGCAGTCAGGCAAATACCGTTCTCCTATCAACTGTATTTTTGTCTCAGTTCTGGCACCTGAAAAGCCCCATGTACATGTCTTCCATGTACATGGGGCTTCTGGCACCTGAAAAGCCCCATGTACATGTCTGTTCTTATAAGTTGGGATGTGGTGCCTTTTGATCACTCATCAATCCACTATGCATTACTTATCTTAGTCGATTTTTTTCTTCTTAGGGAAAGCTGTAGATTTAAAAATATATAAAACATTATTTCAAATTAAATATACATAGATTTTGTAAGAGATTCCATTGACTGGGCTTAGAACTACTTTAATAAAACTAAGTTAAGTACATTTTCAGACACTAGCATAGAGGCAATATTAACACTGAGAGATTTTACTTCTTACCTAGAGGTGCCCTTTTAAACATCAAATGGGCCATGGCCAGCAGCGGTTTGCTATTTAAGGCATAACGATTTTGCGTTTTCTTTGTGGCGCGTGCCTATCACCCAGTGGACAGACACACTTGATGTTCAGTACTCTCTTTTGGAATCCAGAGATATCCTGCCATGCTGCTAAGCTCAGAACATTTGCAGAAGTGATTGAACTTTTTTATTCAATGTTTAGCTGACATAAAGGTTTTTATTTGGCCAGCTCAAGGAATGATTTGAAATACGTAAAAAAATAAACATAGTTATTAGAGCGAAGAGTTTTCTCCTATTTTACACCAACGGTGTCTTACATATGTGCACAGAATAACGAAAAGCAACAGCAAACATTCTGGAAAATTAGACCTGTCATTGGAGGAAAAGACGAATACAGCAAAACGAGATTTGCTTCACCCAACAGCTTACACTTGGTCAGCAAAACTGTGGAGGTGGGGCTTTACATCAGAAGGTGGACCACATTCTTAGGCAGGGGTTGGCGCTTAAGGTACCACCTTGGATAGCAGAAGGGACAAGCACACATTTGTAAAAAGTGGCGTTCCTCCCAAGTTCTGGGATGGGAAAAGGAAAACATTTTAGTTCAATACTCCATAAGACGAGCTTTGCCATGCTCACCTTGAGCACCCATCATCTCAAACTGACAAGCAGACAGTCAATTACTATGCCAGAAAGGGTTCACTTTTTTTAGTTCCCTTTAGTCTGGCCTCTAATCTCTTCTCTTTTGATGATGTTCTCCATAAATAGGTGGGCAGAGTTAGGATAGCAGTCTGTAGTCTCGGCAAGTAAAATGGAGGGTGTCACAATCAGGGGTCAGGCTCGAAGACCAGTTGCTATGGCACTGGAAATGCTCACCTGAAAATAGCAGGATAGATACACAGGCAGGTCACCATGGCGGAGGAGTGAGACCACCCGAGGTACAGAGTCTAAGTACCAACCGATGTTCCCCAGAACTCCTGATGGTGGAGATGGATTTTGCTGCATGTTAGCACCAGGTCGCGGTCCTCAGGATCTCCCCACCAGGAGGTGAGCAAGCGGAGGTCCAGTAGCGTATAAACAGGTAAGGATCAAATGGAAGCATGGTCAGTAAACAAGCCAAGGTCGGTAATGAGCAGTCGCAAGTTGGGATCAAGCAGAAGCGTAGTCGAGAACAAGCCAAGGGCCAATAACGAGTGGTAGCAAAATATGGATAACAGAAAAGACAAGGAGCAAAATACTGGCTGGAGAGCACAATAATCTGGCAAACAGGGAGTGCAGAGACATGGCTTATATCAGGAAGTTCATGGGAGGAGCAAGGGGTTCAAGGTTCATGACAAACAAGGTCAAGGTAGGATCAGCCAAATAATTGTCAAGGGAACTGTCCAGCATTCCAGGTGGCTCAGCAAGAAGAAACATTACCACTCCCCGCAGAAGGCCCAGGTTCAGACCCAAGCTCTGACAGAGGGATTAGGTTGTGGAAATGTGTTCTTGGTTCAACTCACTTGGACTTCTAGGATGGGCCTAACCACTGACCTTATGGGAACAGTTAGTCTCTGTGGTGCCAGTGGATATGGGAATATGGACTGTGCTAAGTACGTCAAGTGTCATTATGTGCCTTACTTCATTGCCATGGTTTGGAAGATCTATTTAATTAAAGAAGTGAAGCCAAAGCTTTTTTGGCTGTACTTCTCTTATGGATCACAGGAGTTCAGTTCGTTCTGCACTCCTGTGACTCCTTTTTTGAGCCGCTGTTGGCTGACATAACAGATCCACCCAGATGCCTGAACTGAGAGCCTGAGTTGACTGCTCCTTCACAATCCACAGCCCGACGCTGCAGTGAGCGCTGGAAGAGCAGAGCAGAAGTCCAATGACTGACAGTCACCAGCTCTCTGAAGCCTGAAGACCAAGGGCTGAGTGATCAGTGGTGTTTGATTACTCAGTTCTCAGTCTTAGAGCTAGCAGGAGACAGATGCAGCATTAGACTGATGCTGCAGCCACTTAGGTGAGTATAATTTTTTTTTTTACTTAAACTCATACTTCTTTTAACTTTGTGCCAGGATTACCTCAGGCATCAAGCAAGGATGACCAGATCAGTGGGCTGCACCTTAGGAAATCAGGAAGCAGGCTGAGTAAGGTTGAATGAAGTTTATTAACATGACCAGGGGACTAAAGATGGCTTGATCCAGTCCCACTAAACCAATACCTAACCCCCATTCTTAATCTAAGTAACCACACTGACAACAAAATGGAGTTAACGGCCCAAACGGCCTTTTATTACAATCATCAATAAATAACATTTTAAATAACAGAAAGCACAGTATAAAACATACGTTTTGTCAAGGTCCAAAAAGGCATCAAGAAAAACGAATACCTGCGTCCTGGTTAACTAGGCCTCTAGCCGCAACATCACCGACTTCGAGAGACCACCGCAGATACCCCCACCAGAACAACTGGAAGCCGTACCTCAGACGGGTTCCTACAAAGTGCCTTTTCTTGTGCCCACATTAAGCAACGAGGACCTTGCACCCCACCGGACGTCCGCAGCACCAATATGGCACAACCACCACCAAGACAAACCATCAAACAACGGGCGGGCGGGAAGTTTGGCTCATGAAAACTCTCTTCAGACTGAAAAACCCCCTGCCACACCCTGTAAGACCACCCCTAGTAGCTCCCCCCACTCCTTCCTTAACACCATTTAGACTCCCCATTATGCTAATGGCACTCCAACTCTCCCAACCCCCTTTAACCCCTGTCATGCCGGCCCTTCGTTCAGGTCTTCTTTCTTTCTTCTTACTCCAGGCCTTCCTTCAATATTGCTCTTACAATACCAACACCAATAAAGAATAACAATGTAAAGTGACAAAATAAGGCTTCATGTACACGTGCAGCTCCTAAATTCAAGTTTACATGTACACATGGGCTTTTAGCAGAATTTAGGAGCTGCTACATTTAGGTGAGGTTAAACCTCCCTCTCCTGGACACAGAAGAATCGCGTTCAAGATAGGAACGTTTTGACCGCCGACCGTGGGGAAACGCAAAAACGCGGCAAAACATGGTACTGCGTTTTTGCAGAAATTTGTATTTTCCTGAGGTCGGTGGTCAAGGTAGGCTCGGGTACATGAAGCCTAAATGTGAAAGTGCAGCAAACCAAACAATAACCTAACTAACTGTATGCAAATGGAGGGAGGAAACGTGCAGGACAAGGTCAGGACTAAGACAGGAAACGAGGAGTAGGGAGCAAGGTACTGAGAAAGCAGCATGCAGGGTACAGAAGCAGAGAGCAGGTCACAGGGACAGGTCTCATGGTCAGGTACAGGTACAGGAACAAGTTTCAGGCTCAGGCAGGGACACGCTTGCAGGAGAAATACTGAAGCACTGAACCTCAGTTATGGGCAGGCTTATATACCTTGCAGCAGCCCACGTTAGGTGCAGCCTAATTACTCGGACAGCCGAGCTGCTGGGAGACACCCACTGGTGACCACCAGAACTGTGCCTTTTGACTCTGGGAACCAGAGTGCCACCAGCAGGTGGCCCAGGTGATGACACCATTCCTGACACTGAGTAAAGGAGATAGAGTTGTTTTTTGGCAGAAAGTGTGTTATCAAAGAGCGTGCATGAATACCTTAGTGATAGCCAGGGTCGGACTGACAACTCATGGGACCCCTGGGCAATAGGGGATCATGGGGCCCCTGTGTCCTTGCCCAAACTCAAAAAAGCCTATGAAAAAGGTACTAGGTGCATCTCATGGGGCCCCCTACTGACCCCGGGCCCTCGAGCAGTGCCCGAGTTTCCAAATGGTCAGTCCGCCCCAGGTGATAGCATATAAAGTGGCTCTGTACACAGGTAGGCCACAGGTGGTTAGTAGGGTTCTGTCTCATAATAAGATACAATAAAGCAAATCCTCCTGTGCATAAGTGTGATGGACCAGGGTCAGTTCACAAGCCCCCTTGTAGAACCACTTCCAGGGAACCACCAGGCCTTGCTGCCCTCTGATGACTGGGGAAGTCCAACAACCACTGCAAAAGACCAGGCAAAAAAAAAAGGCGCACCAGCCTAGTGTATTATCCCCAGGGGTTTTTATTTCCATCAAAAGGTAAAAAACATACTCACAAACGATAGATATATACAGTTGCAAGAAAAAGTATGTGAACCCCTTGGGATTACGTGGAGTTTTGCATGAATTGGGTATAAAATGTGCTCTGAACATCATCTAAGTCACAACAATAGAAGAACACAGTCTGCTGAACATAATACTACACAAACATTAGATGTTGCCATGGTTTAATTGCACATAACATGTAAACATTTACAGTGCAGGGAGGAAAAAGTATGTGAACCTTTGGACTTAATAACTGGTTGACTCTCCTTTTGCAGCAATAACCTCAACCAAACATTTCCTGTAGTTGCAGATCAGACCTGCACAACGATCTGGAGTAATTTTGGACCACTCCTCTTCACAAAACTGTTTCAGTGTAGCAATATTCTTGGGATGTCTGGTGTGAATCGCTCTCTTAAGGTCATGCCACAGCATTTCAATCGGGTTGAGGTCAGGACTCTGACTGGGCCACTCCAGAAGGCGTATTCTGTGCCGTTGCAGCCATTGTTTTGTTGAATTACTTGTATGCTTTGGGTCATTGTCCTGTTGCATCACCCATCCTCTGCGGAGCTTCAGTTGGCGGACAGATGGTCGTACATTTTCCTGCAAAATGTCTTGATAAACTCTGGAATTCATTTTCCCATCAATGACAACAATCCGTCCAGGACCTGATGCAGCAAAGCAGCCCCAAACCATGATGCTCCCTGCGCCACGTTTTACAGTGGGGATGAGGTTTTGATGTTGGTGTGCTGGGCCTTTTTTCTCCACACATAGTGTTGTGTGTTCTTCCAAACAACTCAATCTTGGTTTCATCTGTCCACAGTATATTTTGCCAGTAGTGCTGTGGAACATCCAGGTGCTCTTTTGCAAACTTCAAACGTGCTGCAATATTCTTTTTGGACAGCAATGGCTTCCTCCGTGGTGTCCTCCCATGTACTCCATTCTTGTTTAATGTTTTCCTTATTGTAGATGTGTCAACAAAAATGTTAGCATGTGCCAGAGATTTCTGTAGGTCTTTAGCTGACACTCTGGGACTCTTCTTTACCTCATGCAGCATTCTGCGCTGTGCTCTTGCAGTCATTTTTACAGGACGATCATGCCTAGGGAGAGTAGCAACAGTGCTAAACTTTCTCCATTTGTAGACAGTCTGTCTTACCGTGGACACATGAACATCAAGGCTTAAGGAGATACTTTTGTAACCCTTTCCAGCTTCATGCAAGTCAACAATTGATCGTAGGTCTTCTGAGAGCTCTTTTCTGTGAGGCATGGTTCACATCAGACAGTGCTTCTTGAAACCAGTAAACCCAAAACAGGTGTGTGTTTTTTAAGGGCAGGACAGCTGTCAGCAACACATCCAATATCCTCACACTGACTGGAGTCAAAGTTGGCTCACTCCTGGCTCCAATTAGCTCTGGGAGAAGTCATTAAGCTAGGGCCTCACATACTTTTTCCTCCCTGCACTGTGAATGTTTACATGTTATGTGCAATTAAACCATGGCAACATCTAATGTTTGTGTAGTATTATGTTCAGCAGACTGTGTTCTTCTATTGTTGTGACTTAGATGACGTTCAGAGCACATTTTATGCCCAATTCATGCAAAACTCCACGTAATCCCAAGGGGTTCACATACTTTTTCTTGCAACTGTACAGCATATCAAGCACAGTGGGTAATGAGACCCAAAGAGATCTAATGCCAGGATAGATCTAATGAAGAGGGTGTAAGCTACTACAAGATCCTGGACAGTGCTATCCTGACGTCAGATCTCTTTGGGGACCATTATCCACTGTGCTTGATATGCTGTATACTTCTATCATTTGTGAGTATGTTTTTATCTTTTTATGGAAATAAAAAACCCCGGGGATAATACACTAGGCTGGTGCTCCTCCTTTTTGTTTGGTCATAATAAGCTACATTGGTGCAGGTGATCGGGATCCTGATTACAAGTAAACCTAGTTGGGTCAATGCTTGTTGGTGGTTAAGGACAGAGGTCACCCTGCAGGTGGTAAAGAGAGGACCCCTCAATGGAACATAATTCAGGTGACCTAGGATCCCATGTCTCATAGGCCCTAGCTGCTCAGGTGGACTTTTTGAGCCTTCATCTGCCACCACCAAAGCCTTAAAATGTAGGTAACTTCCAACCGAAAAGAAAGGTCAGTGCTGTAGTGGACCAGATGGATGGCATCATGGAGTTTCAAACCTGCTATCTAGGCACAAGAGAAGACAGTAAAAGTCAACTTGTGCTGAGATGCAGTTATAGAATAGATAAGATGACATCTAGTCTGGCTAACAAATATTTAAGGGAGAAGTAAACTTTCAGTAAACCCTTACTAGACCTCCAAAACTAAACTAAATCTTCCACCCCTTACTTATTAGAGGTAAACAGTTGCTACCAGATCCAAGCCCTGTATTTTCAGCTAGAATTCTTTCCAGCTCTTTCAGAACTCTGCCCATAATTTTGGAATGAGATGTCCAGCAAAGTCATATAGGTGTACTAGCCAATTGTTTGGGCTTATATTGTATTTTTAAAGGTCATGCTCTGAGGGTTTCACTGCTTGTACTCGCCTCACTAATGAATCACTAACTAGGAACAAGTATTTTTGTATAAAGTGTCCAACACCTGTTGTGCAAATGCTAATTCCAGGTCGAGACTCACCATGTATGGAAGGAAGCATATGTTTGTTTTTATTGTCATTGTTGGAGAAATACTAACCATATGTTAAATTATAAAACTACTTCCTGCGCTAAGAATGAGGCCCTATCCCTATAGCTGCTGACACTTAACCTCCTACCAATGTGAGTCCAATACAATAAATAAATAAATAGTGCAGCGCTAAACCATAAATCTAAAATAAATATATATATATATATATATATATATATAAATAAATACAAAATAAATATATATCATATATAAGTGCAACCGTGCAAATACAGTATTAATTCAATAAAGTGTAACACGTGTATTCCCCCCGGGAATAATTAAAGTGACCAAGTGATCAAATATATTCAATAAAGTGCAATACGTGTATTCCCTAAGGAATGATCAAAGTGACCAAGTGATCAAAGCAAACAATATATCACAATACACTCTAATACAAATCTCCACTTATTGTGAACATATCCATATCAGACCCTGAGGAAGTCATGTGATTAGCGTGACGCAACGCGTCGGTACGCGAGGAGGATTCTGGGAGAGCGCGGTGACGTCATTTCCGGCGTGGCGGCCTAATTTGAAACCCCTATATCTAATACCCATGCAAGGCAGGCATAGCATGAGGTATAGGAGCCATATGAAAGATGAATAATCATGTGAGTGGATATCTCTGTATACAGTGTATATAATAAATTGCGGTTTTACACTATGAGAGTCTTCTGTTTATACAAGAACCGGAGAGGAAACTGTTGATAGAGTATACATCGCTGGGGAGGATCCTGTGATACACCTGAGTGGTGTCTTTTCCCAAAGCGAGCTGACCCTGTAGGGTCTATGTAAGGAGGTGAGGGGCCATTGCAGCTATTTTTGGATACACACAGTGTGGACACTTGATATTACCTGCATGAAGATTGTGTATTGGACACTATATATATATATATGGATATGTTCACAATAAGTGGAGATTTGTATTAGAGTGTATTGTAATATATTGTTTGCTTTGATCACTTGGTCACTTTGATCATTTCTTAGGGAATACACGTATTGCACATTATTGAATATATTTGATCACTTGGTCACTTTGATTATTCCCGGGGGAATTAATACTGTATTTGCACGGTTGCACTTTTATATTTTTATATGATATATATTTATTTTGTATTTATTTATATATATTATATTTATTTTAGATTTATGGTTTAGCGCTGCACTATTTATTTATTTATTGTATTGGACTAACCATATGTTGTTGTTTTTTTTAGCCAGTAAAACTTTATTGTCTTTATTTTGCTTATTTACCTATTCAGCTTAGGTTATCTAGGTGCTTTACAAAAAATGAATAAATAATGAAAAAAAAAAACAATTCTGCTAATAATTAACACATTTAATAAGAACACCTTTACCAAGGTGACAACCCCCACAGAGATGTTTATCAGTAATTTTCCCACTGAAAGTCTCACCTATATGCTATATGCTTTAAAAAGTAAAATGCGTCATTGTTTTTGTATCGTTCATTTAAGCATTTATTTGTTTATTTTTAAGTGACTGTATAACCTTTTCATTTTATTTTCGATATTAGGCCTCATGCACACGTTTTTACAGCTGCTGTTTTTGCCTTCTGGCATTTTTTTTCTACAGTCAGCAAATTCCCCAGCGTGTTCTCCTATGTGTTCATGCACACATAGGCTTTAATCAGAGTTTTTTGCATTTCCTGGCTGGAAAAAAAAACAGAACTAGTGGGTATTAAGAGGCGTTTTTGTAGCTGTAAAAACACTCTAACGCTGGTAAACACAGTAAAATGAGTCAAGCCAGCATTTTAGAGTGGTTTTTTTAGCCAAAATATTAAAAAAAAACTGAAAAACTCATGTTTTTAACGTACCTTTGTACAGCTAACTCTACCAGCGTTTTTAAAACACCCATTGTGCATGGAGCCGAAAGACAAAAAATTTGCTTCATGAAAAAAAAAACTTTATCAGTGTGCGTCAATGTTTCAACAACCTTGTTTCTATATATAGTTTGCAAAAAAATTATATTGGCAAAGTTTTGTGGACATCTGACCTTCAAACCTTTATAGATTTATTGAGTTTCTCATTTCAAGGCATTAGCATAGCATTTGCTTCCCTTTGCAGCTATAACAGCCTTTACTGTTCCACATGATTTTGGAGTTTATCTGTGGGAATTTGTACCATTTTAGCCAGAAGAGCATTTGTTGGGTCAAGTACTGATGTTGGCAGGGGCGGACTGACAACTCATGGGGCCCTGGGCAATAGGGGATCATGTTGCCCCTGTGTCCTTGCCCAAACTCAAAAAAAGCCTATGAAAAAGGTACCAGGGGCATCTCATGGGGCCCCTACTGACCCCGGGCCCTCGGGTAGTACCCGAGTTTTCAAATGGTCAGTCTGCCCCTGGATGTTGGGCAAGAAGACCTGGCTTATAATTAACTTTCTTCCCAAATGTGTTCAGTAGGGTTGAGGTCAGGGTTCTGTGCAGGCTACTTGGGTTCCTCCACACCAAACTCATCAAACCATGTCATTATGGAGCTGGCTTTGAACACAGGGAAACAGCCCTGCTGGAACAGAAATGGGGCTTCCCCAAACTGTTGCCCTTAAATTACTAACTGGTGACAGCGTAGAATGTGCAGAAAACATAATGATATCTGCTCCCTAGATGTATGGTTTGAAGAACAAGTTTGGGTTTTTTGCATTTCTTAAAATTACATAATGATACACCTTCAATGGTATATGTAGCACACCAAAAGGGGGCAAAGAACAATAATGTATTTCAGGAATATGCACACAGGAGTTACATCAGACATGCTCAACCAGTGGCCACATTTGGCCCATGGAGTTTGATGTAGCCGGCAACCTCAAACCTATGGCAACCTGCACAGCCTCCTTTGGGTGCATGCCTCTCTACTGATTGTGTCAGGGATCGCCGCGGCGCTGGTCCCGGCGCATGCGCACTAGGCCTTCTCATGCGGGGATGCAGGCGCTAGGTCCCAGCCAGCCGCAGCGACGGAGTTCGCGCATGCGCACTGGCGTTCGTGGGTGCGCGCCTGGCACCAATGACAGCGCAGGGCGCAATATTTAAATCCCCCCTGTGCTGTCACTGGTTGCCGAATGGTCTTCCTGTGATTCCTGTTCCCTGTAACCTGTGTTGTGAGTACTATTGACCCGGATTGCCTGACCTTTGCTGCTTTCTCCCGTCCTGACCCTTGGCTTGCCTGACCTTGCTCCTGAATGTCCCTGTATAGATCTGATCTCCTGTTACTGACCTGGTGTGTGACCCGGCCATTCTTTGCCTGCTGCTTTGTACCGCACCGACCCCCCGGCTACCGACTCGGCTTGTCTGACCTAGCTTTAGCTCATCCATCCATCCCACCGGGACCCCCCGGCCTCCTCACATCAGACTCTTACCCTGCGGGAGCCTCTGGCGGACTCCTCTACCACTGGTTGGTATACCCGGTAGTCGCGACCTGGTCTCGGGGCGCTCCAAGTCCATCCCCACCATCAGGGGCCCTGGTGAACAAGTGCTCTGGAACTTAGACTCCGCGCTCCGGGGAAGCCTGACCAGTGGGTTGCTAGAGGTGCTCCCAGGTGGTCCCTTACAGATTGATTGCCAGTCTTCCATAATCTCGGCTGCTGTCATACACAAGTCACTTTTGCAGCTGGCTCCCCATTATTCTTGTTCCTTCCTAACACAGAAACGGAGAGAGGAGCCTTGTTTTAGCAATTCAAGGCATGTTTGCAAAGACCCTGATACAGCGAAGGCTGCAACACTGGTTCAGAGCTTTTTTGGCTGGTCACACCTGAGCATGAGTGGGATTAATGGTGATCTGGTTAATAGAAATGTGATTTTTGTGATTAAACAGTGGGTAAACATCCATAGGGGATTGGTCCCACAGAAAATGATGATTCTGATTGTTGTTTTAAATCTTCATTATGTTATTCAAAATAAAAAAAATTAAATTCTGTACCATTTCATTGTGTCCCATGGCTGGTTACCAAATCACTTAAGTGGTCCTTGCTTTTCAAAAGGTTGATCACCTCTGAGTTACATCATCCCCAACACTTCTCTATTCTGTAGGATGCCAGGAATGAGAAAGGAGTGCATGCCACACTGTCCATGCACTGCAGATGTCCATGCAAAAAGAAGTTTTTGGCAGAAGAGTCTTTGAATGTGTGCAAAAAATTTACATCCCAGAAACTTTTTTTGTTTCTTGACTTCCATTCTGCTTCACGTTCAGGGGCGGACTGACCATTTGGAAACTCGGGCACTGCCCGAGGGCCCGGGTCAGTAGGGGGCCCCATGAGATGCCCCTGGTACCTTTTTCATAGGCTTTTTTGAGTTTGGGCAAGGACACAGGGGCCCCATGATCCCTATTGCCCGGGGGCCCCATGAGTTGTCAGTCCGCCCCTGTTCACGTTATCAAGTTATTTAGGTGGTTACTTTAGCAATCACGTGGTTCAACCATTTTGGCTCCAACCTCCATCTTGGCAAAGGATCATCCATCTTGTACAAACATATCTCCCCTCATTCTCCCTTTCCCTCTCTGAGAGTCACAGTGACATATGTTTGGTGTGTGTGTTGGAAGTGTCACAGGCTGGCCAGGGCACAGCAGGTAGCTCCGAGCTATAAACCATCTCTGAGCTGGGTGCCGGGCAGGCTGGTAAGCTGAGCAATCTTACATGTAAAATTCAGCAAGTTGGTTTGTACCCAAGTTGATTGATCGATCAATTTGGGTATGTTCAGCCTGCCTATAGATAATTTGAATATCATTCGATTGATACTGAACCGGCCAAAATCTAAGCCATATATGGCTGGCATAAGTAGGGGCAGAGGAGATTCTGCAGTCAGCATATAACAAAAGCCATAAGTACATACTGTAGATGTACACCAGTATGGAAATGATACAAGTTTATATAAAACATTAGTAATAGTACATACATTCACTATACAAACAGGTCATATTATCAACAGGCACAACAGGAGTTCTGGTAAAATTGTGCACATATAACGTGGTATATTTAGTTATTAATGGGGATACCTCCAGATGAATGTTGCCACAAAGTCCAGTTGCAGGGGCCCCTGAGGATGATTGTGCTGTGGCATCTGTATGGGTGTTAAAGACCTGAAGACAAGAGCAATGGTGTTGGGGAGATCCTCCAGCCATTGTCCAACCAGCCTGGAGCGTAGCTTCTACCCAGCAGGAACAGTGGTGTCGCACTGGAACGCAGAGTCAGCCTATCTACTCTTCATCTTAGTCCCTAGTAGCTTCTAATCTGCCATGCAGTCAGACTTCTAACTAACAGTAATGGTTGTTGGATGTCTAACCTGATTCTAACCTATGTTTGTTATTGAGTTCCAAGTTATAACTGACTATAGAATTCCAGACCAGAAGGGACAGAGTTAAATAAAATAACAGGCACTGCATTTAAACTCTATTGCAATGAACAGGTTCACCTACTAATATACTGGAAGGTGAACACTATACAGACCTAGTTATCTGGCACTGTGCATGTGGCATAATAACAACAGGACAGAAACTCAGCTATCATTAGGATACAGATCGAGAAGTTATGGGCAACTACAGTTAAACTATTAGAACATAGGAGTACTTGATTAATAGTTTCTACTTCTAGTCTGGGTGAAATAAAGTAGAAGTAGCACTTCCTTTGTGGAAGGTCATATAGTTCAGTTACATATGTACTTCCTGCAAACTCTCCTTTATATCAAATATTACAGTGCTCCAGCTAACAGGCACAGAAAGTACCTGTCTACAAGCAATTAACTTTGTGGTAATTAACCATTTCAATACCGGGCAATTTTACACCTTCCTGCCCAGTCCAGTTTTCAGGTTTCAGCGATCTCACACTTTGAATGACAATTGCGCGGTCATGCAACACCGTACCCAAAATAAAATTTTATCATTTTCTTCACACAACTAGAGCTTTCTTTTGGTGGTATTTAATCACCCCTGGGGTTTTTATTTTTTGCTGAATTTACAAAAAAAGACCAAAAATTTTGAAAAAAACATGTTTTTCTTTGTTTCTGTTATAAAAGTTTGCAAATAAATAATTGTTCTTCATAAATTTAGGTCAAGATGTATTCTGCTACATGTCTTTGGTGAAAATAACCCAAATTAGGATGTATTTTTTAGTTTGTAGGAAAGTTATAGAGTTCACAAACTATGGTATATATCTGATTATTGATCAATCCTGAAGTACTGACAGCCAATCTAATTTCTTGAGGTCCAAGAATGTCAGAACAGTACAGATATCCCCCAAATGTCAGGACAGTACAGATATCCCCCAAATGTCACAACAGTACAGATATCCCCCAAATGTCAGAACAGTACAGATATCCCCCAAATGACCCCTTTTTGTAAAGTAGACAGTCAGACGTACTTCATAAGAGGCATGGCGAGTTTTTTGAAGTTGTATTTTTTTGTCATAATTTTTCGGAAAATTAAAAAAATTAGTTTAACTATTTTTTTTTTTTACATACTGTCACCAGTGCAGTACAGCCTCATCATATAACTGGCATGGCGGTGATCAGGGACACTGACTGGTGACAGTAAGAAAAAAAAAAAATATATATTTTTTTTTCTTTTTTTTTAAGATTTTTTTTCATATTTCACTATGACCAAAGTAGTACAATGTTACCATAGTAACATTGTACTACTTTGGGGAAGTGATCAGTATTTTTTTTTCTTTTTACACAATTTGCTTATAGCAAAGAATTACTTTGCTATAAGCAAGCATTTACCTGAATGACATCGATTCATTCAGGTTTTTTTTTTTCTTAGCTGTGATTTGGCCACAGCTAATCACATGACATGTGCATGTGACCTGCTGTGACCATTCACAGCTAGACACTAGCATACAATGGATGGCATGAATGAAGCCATCCATTGTATACAACTGTCATGTGACCTGCTGTGATTGGTCACAGCAGGTCACATGGTACCTGCAACGGGGGCCAATACTCAGATCTGTCATCGGCCGTGTCCAAGGTACACGGCTGGTGACAGATTGCGCAGCTGCACGGCTCTGCAGGAACGCAATCTGCGCATGCGCCATATGGCGTCCACCCGGAACGCTGATGACATTTGCCGGCCACCATTCAGCCATAGGGCGGGCGGCAAATGGTTAACAAACAAAATATATTTACAAATTCAGACAGCAGAAGGTAACAGATCCCTACTCACAGATGTAAGAATAAATGCCAAATACACATAAAACCAACACCAGCCAAAACACAATGTTCCCAATAGGTAGTTTTACCCTTCTGTCCTGGTACCAGATAACACAAGAAAAAAAGTGATGAGTTATCCATCAGATAGAGACTGCAACAAAAGCATGTGTATTTAATAGAGTTGGGAAATGTTAGATTATCTGACAGGTTTTTATTGCTTTCTGGCCTGGATTCTTTCTTGGATACACAGAATATAACTGGATATAACATTTATAGGTAAAGTTGATCCAGGAATATCCGATTGCCTCTCGTGGATCAGGGAGGAATTTTTTTCCCTGCAGGAGCAAATTGGATCATGCTTTGTTGGGTTTTTATTGCCTTCCTTTGGATCAACTGTGGGTGTAGGATTATAACTTTTTTTTTCTTTAATGGTTGAACTGGATGGATGTTTGTCTTTTTTCAGCCAGACTAACTATGTAACTATGTCTTCCTGTCCCAGTGGCAATTACACCCCCCTTTTTACATGCTGTAGCTGGGATATGAAGACAAAAAGTTTTAGATCTGCCTTGATTTTGTATCTATTTTTTTTCACTCTTTAGCAAAAATTTACATGTTTATTTGTTATTTAGTGACTCCACTAATGTTATGTTTTTATGTAGGTGGATGTTTGGAGATCATGTTGTTTTTGCTTGAGCTAAGACAATTTAAATGTAATTTTGCTAAAAATATTATTTTGATAAAGATTAGCACAACTCTCCTGGGACTTGCAAAATCTTCCATATCATCTTAAATATATGAGTCCTGTGCTTTTAGAAATTATAAAGCACTAGGGAGTATTTTGTGCAGTTTAAATTCTGTAATTCTACGTTTAATTAGTTCATTTAAAAAAAATAATCCATCTAAAATGCAAAACAGAAGGCTATGACTATGGCAAGGAAAGGACTAAAGCAGCGGTTCTCAACCTGTGGGTCGCGACCCCTTTGGGGGTCGAACGACCCTTTCACAGGGGTTGCCTAAGACCATCGGAAAACACATATTTACGATGGTCTTAGGAACCGAGACACCGCTCCTCTATCCGTCTCCAGGCGGGTCCACCCACATGCAGATACGCCCACATACGAGTACCCGGCGTGATGACATCATTGTGAAAACCCCATCACATACACCCTGTACAAATACAGGTGTATGTGACAGGGTTGGCGCCATAATGTACTTATGTGGACCAGTCACTGTGTAAAGAGCAGCTACTGTATAGAAAGCAGCTACTGTGTTGAAAGCAGCTACTGTGTTGAAAGCAGCTACTGTGTTGAAAGCAGCTACTGGGTTGAAAGCAGCTACTTTGTAGAAAGCAGCAGTATTGGAGGTAAAAGGACACTTCATGAATTATAATTGTTTTTGTGATTAATCACTATGCTTTAATTATGTTCAGTTTGTAACAATGAAAATACATCAGGCATATCAGATATTTACATTACGATTCATAATAGTAGCAAAAGTACAGTTATGAAGTAACAACAAAAATAATTTTATGGTTAGGGGTCACCACAATATGAGGAACTGTATTAAAGGGTCGCGGCATTAGGAAGGTTGAGAACCACTGGACTAAAGCAATGGACAGCTTGACTGAACATTTTGTTTTTCATTTGGGATAGAGTAGGGAATGGTTAAAACTCCTGTGATTGTTTTTCTTTTTTGCTTTGTATGCCCCACTTTGAAATTACTCACATTTCAGCTTCTTACTTTAAGATTTTTAATTATTATAAATATGTCATTATAAATAATTAGATAGATATAAGCACACAATTTCACAGAAATAATCCATAATAACCTCTTTTCTCCATTTTCAGAGTTGACAATGAAGACATCAAAGATTTGGACAGTTTCTGCCACCTGAGATTAATGATTCATGAGAGAGATGAAGAAATACAACATAGATAGATCTTCACTTGGCAGAGTTGCAGTGAAGGACTTTGGGAAGATTTTCAAAAGTAGTGTAACTTCTTCACAAATAAAGATTCTGATGGTTTCTATAATTTGTGAACGTGAAAGCTGGACT